AACAATATTAATTTTTATTTTATTTTGCTTTTCAGGCTCGAAACATATGTAAGGAGTAACAACATACATGGATGAAGTGATTGAGATCAATATTTTTCATTTTTATTATGGTTTATTAAATATAATAAGAAAAATTGGCACTTGTAAGACATTTTTTACACGTTGATTAGAATTTCAAAATTTATCTTGCATTTAATAAAATATTAGTTGATTTTGTTACTTATCTTTCTTCACATTTTTCATTGTATATTGCATATTTAATTAGATCATCAAAGTAATCATTGTTCTAATTTTTTTTGTTTTTCTTTGTAGGTTAAAGATGCAACGAGTGACTCTTAAAGCATAGTTGAAGACAATGGATAATTCTTTTATATTTAAAATTTCTCAATTTTTTTGAAAGTCATGTAGACTTTAATATTATTAAGAGAAAATTGACATTTGTAATACATTTTAAACAATGGATGTCTTCAAATTATGTGGCATTTATTGAATTATTCCAATAATATAATTATTTGTTAGAAGTTATTATATAATTTTCATGTGATGTATGAATAAAATAGGTGTTTTAAGGTGGCATTTCAAATTGCCATTATTTTACTATTTTATTTGGAATATAGCCACAGTTTTCCCATAAATTGAAAAAATTAGCTATGGTTTTCCAATAAACTATGGGCATATATTGCATTTTTTAGCCAAGGTTTGTGAAAAAACTGTAGCTATAGGTTAGAGTATTTAACTTCGATTTTAGCAAAAAACTGTGGTTATAGGTTAGTACATTTAGCTCTGGTTTTGTAACAAACTGTAGCAATGAATAGAAGAATTATAGTTATGGTTTTATAAAAATTTGTGGTTATAGATTTAGATATATAACTATTACAATATAAAAACCGTAGCTATATGTATCTTTTAGTTATGGTTTTAGCCCATAGCTAAAGATTCATATGATATGCGTTCGCCCTTTAGCTATGAACACATATTGTAGCTATAAATGGGTTATAGCCACGGATTAGTTGAACCGTAGCTGTAGGCTATAGCCACATGAACATAGGTTATGATTTTCCATCCGTAACTAAACCGTAACTATAGACCTATAGGTACGGTTTTGTTGACCTTTAACCATGGTTTTATCCGTAGTTAAAGGTCATACTTCTAGTGCACCTTTGAGATTAGCCGCAGCACACATAACCTTTTCAATCTCCTCATCGGATGCCACTGTCCAAGCTCAACTGCAGCATTCCTAGTAAGCCCAACTACTGCATGCTTTGAGCATGTGTATGCATGACTTCCCAAGCCCCCATATCCGATGCAATACTAGCCGTTGAGATAATGCTACCACCACGGGCTGGGATCATGACACGGGCTGCATGCTTGGTCCCAAACACCTGTCAAATTGATGCTCACCACTCTCTCGAAGTCGGCCTTCTCATTGTCAGTGGTACGTGCCTTGGCCTCATCACTTATACCTGCATTGTTGAACATTATGTCTAGCTTCCCATACTTGGAAATAGTGCCATCAACAGCTTCCTTTACTTGCTCCTCATCACTAACATCGCAATGGACATACGTAGCATTTGTGGTGCCTAGCTCCTTGCAAAATAAATTGCCCAATTTGTGAGCAATTATGATGTGGACGTCGGCAGCAGCGACAGTAATTTAGTGTTTTCAATAGTAGCAATTTAGTAGTAGTAGGGATTAGTAGGAGTTTTATCTATTCAGTGTTCTTATCTTATCAGTTCAATAGTATGGATTAGTAGAGAGTCTTATCTTATGTTATCTTATCAATTCAGTATGATAGATTAGTAGGGAGTTTTCCTAATTAGCAAGGAGTCTTCCTAAAAATAGGACTCTTATCTCTTGTAATCTCCTATTTAAGGAACTGAGAATATTGAATAAAATCATCGAAAATTTCAATCAAGAAAGAGAGCAAAGAGAGTTAGGTGATCTCTTGGACAAACCACCATTTGGGCGCCAAGATAGGTTCATCAAGAGCAAGGAGGGACAAGGGAAAACATGAGGTTTTCCCATGGACCGACCCGTGATGAGATCCTATTCCCGGGCCCATAACAATTTGGTATTAGAGCAAGGCGTCATTGAGCAATTGACGTCTAGGGTTCATGATCTGGAGCACAAACTCGTGGAAAACAGCAGGAGGTGCGCGAGATCAAGGACAACGTCCGAGAATTAAGGCGCTTGATGGAGTTGTACTTTTCCAACAAGGAAAGGAACCCGGAAGGGGCTGCAACCACAACTGGCCACCGACCAGACATAGTAGAATCGTTCGGCGAGCAACAGGTCGTTGCCCTAGCACAGGTTAGCAACACCCAGCATGTTCCGATTAAGCAGGAATCCGGTGTGGTCGAGGATTCCATCCATGGGAGTTCAAAGAAGAATAAGAGCAACTACTCCAAGGTCGTCATTGCTGGTGAAGGAGCTTGTATGCCTCATGTTGCAGCTGCAAATGTTGCAAAAGAGTGTTTGTTAATTGCAGTCAGATCAAATCCTAGGGCTGCACATATCTGGGTGAATCTTGCTAATGCATACTATGTGGCTGGTGATCATAGAAGTGCTGGAAAGTGCCTGGAGAAGGCAACAAAATTAGAGCATAATTGCATGTCAACTCGATATGTTGTTGCGTTTCATCGTATCAAGGATGCAAAAAGGTCTCAAGATCCCACTGAACAACTTTCATGGGTTGCGAATGAAATGGCTTCAATTCTCAGAGAAGGGGACTCTGCAACAATTGAGCTTCGGATAGCATGGGCAAGACTTGCCATGCACGAAATTGCAGCAACGTTTGAAACTGGACATAATGATTTGACGGAAGAGGAAGAGCGAGCTCTGTACACACTAAAGCAGGCAATAGAAGAGAATCCAGAGGATGCAGTTCAGTGGCACCAGCCTGGCGTTCACAATCTTTGTACTCTACAGTTCAAGACATCTCAGAAGTACCTTAAGGCTGCAGTTGCCCGCGACAAAGAATGCAGCTACGCATGGTCAAATCTTGGTATCTTACTGCAGCTGTCTGAGGATGAATTCTTTTCATTGGAACCCGATCCAGGAGGGCAAAATCATTCCACCTATCTGGGATTCCTTGGACTGTGTTTCAAGACACCCATCCTGAATTCGAGCTTGAGGACAAGCTCGTAGCCCAGGAGGGGAGTAATGATGTTGATGCCGGCAGCAACAACAGTAATTTAGTGTTCTCAACAGCAACAATTTAGTGTTCTCATCCTATCTTATCTATTCAGTATTCTTACCTTATCTGCTTTCAGTAGTGGGGATTAGTAGGAGTCTTATCTATTCAATGTTCTTATCTTATCAGTTCAGTAGAATGGATTAGTAGGGAGTCTTATCTATTCAGTGTTCTTATCTCTTGTAATCTCCTTTTTAAGGAACTTAGAATATTGAATAAAATCATCAAAAATTTCAGTCAAGAAAGAGAGCAAGGAGAGTTAGGTGATCTCTTAGACAAATCACCATTTGGGTGCCAAGATAGGTTCATCAAGAACAGGGAAGAACAAGGGAAAACAGAAGATCTTCCCCGTGGACCGACCTGTGACGAAATCCTATTCCTGTGCCCATAACAAATTACAACTTTAGCTCCAATTGATCCTATTGCTGTGCACTCTCCAATTAATGCCACTAGCACCGCCTGTGATCAGTGCCACCTTCCCTTCTAGTCTATCAAATCAAAACAGAGGATATCTTTTATATATATATATATATATATATATATATATATATATGTAAATATTCAAAGTCATTAATTAGTTGGAGCTGATAACAGTCATACTTGTTTAATCTAAATTGAAGATTGAATATGTGCTTTCACCCCTTATTATTATGGTATATATATGTTTAGCCCTTGTCAAATAATATAATTCCGATCCATTTCTTGAGAAGATCAATACTGCTGAATTGATGGGCTGCAAATGTTTTGGATCAAATTATTGCATATTCCTAAATCGAACCTTGTCCATTGGATTTACATCAAACTTGGTTCCAATATATATACTAGAAGTTATTAATAAATGAAACTATATTTGTTCAGATTATTGTTAACAGATTAGACTAAAATGATTTCAAAATAAATTATATGGGACTTGAGCTAGCTAGTGACTCTTCAATGAACATACAGTATTGAAACCAACTTAATATCAGACTTGATCATATTGGGTTGGATCGGGGTGGATCTATATGTATTAAATCCGGTACTAAATCAGGTGTATGCCCGGTTGCCCTTTTGACAATATTCTCTTTCAGGTTCAACACTGCTTATGTTTAGCTAAGGATGTCTCTACTAGCTTCCCCTGGATTCAGAGATGTGCACGATTGCAGATTGGATTGTTACAGACCTGAATGAATTACTCTGCTGCTTAAATTTTTCCTGTTTACTTTTCTTTTTTGTGTCTTCGATCGTGTCTCTGTGTTGTGTTTCTGTGCTGTTCTAGTTGGGTTTCCAAAATCTCATTCTGTTTTACCAAAAAAGATAGATCATATATATGACAATTTAATGAACTTATAATTACCCCATATTCAGTTTTTTTTTTTTTTTTTTTTTTGCCTTTGGAAAAAAAACCTTTATCAAAACATGGGTTACATAGGCAAAGCAATAGAAGAAGATAATGACGATGATTGATCCACAAAACATTCTAATGGTTATGATTTATGATATAAATTCAAGTACTCAGAATATATTACCTTCTTACAATTGTAGATAGAACTGAACCGGCTGCCATGGTTGAATGAAAGTCCAAACCCAGAATTCTTATGATGATGATGAACTTCGTTTGGGATCACAGAGAGACGCGAAAGAACATGATACCGATTAGGATAAGGGTGATTGCCCTTGATATTTCAGGTTAAAATGCTAAGCTGGATAGGGTACAAGACAAGACAAGACAGTCTTTTTTTATTAATTTCTCCACCGACTACCATAATGCAAGATGTGGCCCCACCAGTATTGCTTGAATTGTTCAAACCCATGTTGATGCTGATCATATAAATATCTTATTATTCATTAGTCGTTTAGATTATGTGGAAAAAACAACAAGAAAGACATGAATTATTCCTGAATCCTGAATATCCCAATAGTGGTCGTATACAGTCGATCAAAAGCAATTGTCTGCTGGGGAGGCGTCAAGGCTGTAGCGACTGGAAAGCTTTAGCAATGGCTGTTGGGAAAGCAGCATTAACAGTGCTGTAGCCCCCATCCACCAGAAGGTTGAGCCCACTAACGTACCTCGACTCATCGCTTGCTAGGAAAACAGCGGCCTCTGCTATGTCCTCCTCCTTCAAGATGACTCCTTTCAGATTGGCTCCACCATATGTCACCTCTTCAACTTTGCTGGACTCCATGTTCCCCAGAACATGGCCAAGCATAGGAGTGGCTATTCCATAGGGAGAGATGACATTGACCCTAATCCCATACTGCCCCAGCTCCCCACACAAGCTCTTGGCCAGCCCTACCAATGCATACTTTGAGACCCCATATGGGTAGGGTGAGCCACAGCTGATGGCTGAAACAACGCTTGAAGTGAAGAGGATGGAGCCCTTCTTCTGTGGGATCATAACCCTTGCAGCATGCTTGGCTCCCAAGAAGGCGCCAATGAGGTTCACACTCAGAACCCTTTCGAAATCTTTGGGATCAGTTTCCAGCAGTTCTGGATTCAGGTTTCCGGGGATGGCAGCGTTGTTATACATGATGTCCAGCTTTCCATACTTGGAGACGACACTATCAACCAGACTCTGAACATCAGCTTCTTTAGAGACATCGCAGTGGACAAAGAAGGCTGTGTCCTCGGAATCAAGCTCTCTGCAGAGGGAATGGCCTAGCTCATCTTGGACATCTGCTACTACAACCTTTGCTCCATGACGAACAAATAATTTTGCAGTGCTCTTGCCAATTCCGCTGGCACCTCCGGTTATGATTGCAACCTTCCCTTCCAACCTACAAAATCAAAGAGAGAAGCGAGTTCATCTTTTTTTTTTTTTTTTTCAGTTTTTCACTTCATATATATATTAAATCCAGGAATAATACAAATGAAAGTTAGATTAAACATGCAAGGAAGCTGAGTTGATGAGCTTGCTGCATAATCAGGGTGCTTTCCTTAGACCCACATGCAATAATTCTTAATACAAAGATTAGTGGAGAAATTAATTAACCATGAAACATGTGTTCTAATTGAATTGCGTACCTTTTAGTGGTTGGAGCTACGGAAGAAGCAAAACTCATTTTCAGGAAGTGTTTTGTTGTGAAGAAAGCTAGAGTGGGAGAGGCCAGAGGTGTTGTTTTGTTGGAATGAGAAACAAAGAGAGTATGAGAGAGAGAGAGAGTGCTGAACCTTTGTTAAACGAGTTCAATATATAAACACGAGTAGTAGATGAGTTTGCATTTTACTTTTCCTTTCTCGTGTTTTTGACCATAAATGCACACCTTGTGGAAATTTTTGTAGGTTGGAATTCAACTGCAGGCTCTCCTCCGTGCTGAGGTCAATGGAGTTCACATTGGGGCGCCCCACTGCACATCTCAACTGTAAGGGAAATGTTCCCAATTCACGCTGAGGGAGGGCATTGATGCCATCTCCTTTCTCTTTTTTTTTTTTTTTTAATTTCAATTACTTATTTTTTACTTAATTGTCAGACCGGAGAAGGATCGCTATCGGAAAATTAGTCGAAACTTCATAAGCATTTAACTAATAAATATTATAAAATTTGAAGTAATTACAACGTTGGTTGATGGGTTATTATACTATGAATGTAAATGAATTCCAACATAGAAGACCAGACTAATTAAGAGATTGATGGTGGAATTTATTTGATGCCTCGATGGATAGTAATTTGGCATCGGCCCGGCCAGAGCTACCTCAGCTCTAACATCAGTTTCGGTGAGTGTAACGTCCGTTCTAACTGTATTTATTGTCTTGTATTGGGAATATCTCTATATTTCGTGGGGAAATAGATGTTCTCAATGTAAGATTGCAACACGGGTTAAGTCGACTTCCTCAGCTTCAGGGTCTTTAGTCTTTATATTCAGCCTCCTGAAGGCTGAAGGGTTGCCTTTATTGATCACTGCTTTGTTTTTAACGATAACAAACTCCCAGACGACTGGCAAAAGAAATAAACCAAAAGTTTGAAAGAAAAAAGTCAAAAAACTAATCCATGGTCATCCCTAATTTCCTATGGTCAGTGATCATCAGCTTTGAACGACTAAAATCTTTGATTTTTTAGAATTAACAACCAGTGGGTTAATCCCGAAGTGGAGGAGTATTCTCTCCCACTTTTGAACCGAGAATACATAGATTAATATAAAGAAAACTAAAATAAAAACTGAAAAGAGTATATAACGATCCTTATTAAGATAATTTTTCTTAACCAACATGTTCCGGTCAACAAACTTGGGCTGAGTTAAGATATTGGCAAATAATGAAGAGAAATAATAGGAGAAGCAATATTGTATTATTGGGTCCATCCGAAAGTGTCTGATTAGATACAACCTTATGATGATAACTTACATGTTACGGTAGGAGAGCAATAGTAAACCGATAAGAAACAACAAAGTCCTAATAAGTTTAGTCGTCAAGGATAAATTTATATCTATATTTATTATTAAAAATTGTAAATGATAAGGGTGTTCATAGAAAATCCGACTGAACTGAACAGAACTGAAAAATCCGATTAATTAATTGATTTAATTTGGTTTCGATTCAAAATATTGAAAAATAAAAAACGGCGGTTAACTGAATTAACCAGTATATGCATATAATATTATATGTTCCCAAATATATTTGAGATTTCTGCCAAAACACCCCCTACCTCCAACTCCCAAAGCCCCACCTTACCCAATTAATGTGGTCATATCACACTTTATTTCTATTTTCGTCTATATAGGAATATCTAATTAATAAAAATATAAAATAGAAGATGCCTTGATGTGTTGAGATTCCCCCAAATGAGTTCATATTTGCGCCCCCACAGAGCGTCGTAGCCCAAAAACGTCCCCACATGCACACCCCAACATCTCCCACACACTTGTCATGGGTAGATATATCGAATGAATAGTTTGGGATTGGGATGTTCTGTGGGATGCAGATGTGAATTCCATTCAGACACCCCTAGATGCAATTCCCAAGGCTTCTCACTCAGTTTTTGGAACAACCACCCCCACCGCCATTCCTCCCTTCTAATCCTTTCTAACCGCTTATTTTTTGAGTTCACATCTGCGCCCCAAACACATCCCAACCTTGTATTGGAGACATCTCTTGATGATGTCTCATCATCTTCCGTACTTATCATCGAGAGATGTTCCCAATATAACTGGGGAGCAGATATGAACTCTTATTTTTTGTCTCACTATGCTTGAGGTTCCCACACTGTTAGCTTGTTACATGGCCGCACCAGTTACCATGTTGCTATCTACCGCATCACTTCAACACCACCAACGATTCAGCAAGACCAACACCAACACCACCATTGCCTTTGCTCTGTACTTCACTTTTTTTTTAAGGCAAATTTCCCAATTAATATCCCATACTTTGGGTCTAGTGTCACTTTGGTCTCCAAATTTTAAAATGCAACAATTTAAACATTGACAATTTTCCAAATGTGACAATCCAGAACTTACTGTTAACTAGCCGTTAATCAACCGTTAAATTACATTTTAAAAAGATATAAATGCCCTTCGAATGTCTTCTAATTTTCTTTATCAACTACCCAAACATTGACAAAAAAATTAATAATCACAAATCCTTGTCTCTTCTATTCAAGAAAGTTGGGGTCATCGGAATGCCCATTCAAATGTAACCCCAACTTTCTTGAATAGAAGAAGCAAGGATTTAGGACTGTTAATTTTTTGTCAATGTTTAGATGATTGATAAAGAAAATTAAATAACACACAAAGGGCATTTGTGTCCTTTTCAAATGTCACTTAACAGCTAATTAACAGTAGATACTGGATTGTAACATTTGTGTCCTAGTCAGAGCGACCACCGCATGACAACCCCGAGGAGTTCACCATCGTACCCCGCATTTTACGGGATTATGATTTGTAACGGTTATACTAGCTCACCCACTTCCCGATTTAGGCGGAAATGGGAAACCTTATCGGTTGGTGGCTTTATCCCCACCTAACATGAAAACAGGTCCCATCACAGCGGGAATCCAGGAACTGCTCCACCAAACCCATGAGGACTCCAGTATATAAAGGCCTCACCCCCCAAGGGCAAAAGGGAGATGGATGGTAATCTCTGCCCTCTAGCTCTCCCATTCTCTAATATCATTTTCAGCTCACAACCAAGTACTGACTTAGCCATCGGAGCGACCTCGCCAAGTAAACACCCCCGGGTTCTTTGATTCAGTTTTTGCAGGTTCCTCAGTTCCTGCCGTCTACAAAGATAAGCAGATTATCTCCTACAGGGAGCGGCCAAGTTGCGCTACACTAGGGAGCTCCACTTCAGCCTTTGAGTCATTGGCCACTTGGGAGCAGACCAAATGACGAGGTACTTAAACAAAAAAAAATGATACTTGACTAGAAAACGATACATCAATTATAATTCTTAAAATTTTAAATATCAAATAAAAAATATTTTTATATATATATATATTTTTTTATTTTAAATATTTTTTCTCAAAATCAAGCTCGTGCTTATAAATCTTTGACTCGAGCCAAACTCGAACTCAAAGTTGACTTAAACCAAACTTGAATTCGAGCTAACCGAGTTCGTGCCTGATACTATTCGGCTCAACTCTACAAGGCTCGAGTCAAATACTGTTCCGCTCGACTCGACTCAAACCCACCCCTACTTGAGAGTTAGGGCATGTAAAGTTATCATGACTCCAAATGGGTTTTGTCCTACCATGCCTCATTAATTACTCCTAATAAATGCGTGCCGTCAATTCCAATCAAACATTAATTGTGAGCTGATATGGTGTCCCACATGACACAACCGTGTTGCCCCAAACCTGCCAAACCTATCTACCTTGGTCCAAGGCCTGATCTTCTTGTCACACATGGGCAATTTTTATGTATTATTATTTGGGGTAATAGCATATAAGGGCAATTTTTAGAATTTAATATCAATAAAAATAATATTTTTAAAAAACATTTAAAAATAAGTTAATTTTTTAAAATAATATTAATAAAGAATAAAAATACTGTTTATCATCTTATTCTTGTCATTTGTTTACAAGCATCGCTATCTGATGATGCACAATCTGGCCGGTCTTAGCTGTCAATGATCTTGCCTCTGAACTGAGTAACAGGGACCTGAAACGGAAGGAGAAGAGAAGCTCCGRGGAGAATCCGGCGTAAGGGCTCCGAAGCTCAAGTTAGAATCCTTCAAAGGCAAGATAAACCAGATAGCGCAAAAGTTAGCATACC